AAGGATGTATAACTTCTACAACTAGTTTCAAATTATTAAGCATGCCGTTTATGTTTTCAAGTTATCTTTATATAATTTTCATAATTATAAAATAAAACGCTATTTACATTATTCGGACTATTGTCCTCATCTTTGTTGCCATATCTATTACAACGTTTCAGCCATTGTGCGCTCCGGCATTCTTCCGGTGGTTGGAATGTCGAACTGAACCTTTTATTTCGCTCACTGGGGTAGACTGTTCTAGATCCACGTGCCATTTTTAATGGATGTCAGTTATCAGTTATCTCCTGTTAATTTCCCTCTACTAGTTCTCTACTGCTTTACCGGGGTATTGAACTCACACTCTTTGGGTCCTGTCACTGGATCTAACTAACGCCTTTATCCACAGTGCCATGTGTCCTTGAGGACATCTGTGTATGAATTGCTGGGTATTATAAACCTAATGTCTTCAGCAATCATTTTTTCCAGTGCTCATATTGCAATTTTTGGTGTTATCATTGCATTTTTACCACAGCTCATATTGCAATATTGAGATTTTTGTGGCCTAACATATGTACTGATTCCTTAAGTTTACGAATTTTCCAATGGTGTTCTTTGTCTATGATCGCAACCGACCCCACAGAGGGCTATGATCTCCATTTTCTCTCTATATGTGGTCAGCCACGCCTGATTTTTCGCCAGGGCACATGGCACAGTGGATAAAGTGTACATAATACCTCATCTCAGAAATATAGACAGATACTAAAATAAAACGGTTTTCACTTTGTCCTTTAAATAAAACATTTGTCTTTGTAAACTGAGCACATTCTGTTATTCCAATTTGTAAACTGAGCACATTCTGTTATTCCAATTTGTAAAGTGAGCACATTCTGTTATTCCAATTTGTAAACTGAAAACATTCTGTTATTCCAATTTAGAATTCCAATTAATTTTTCTTTTAGATTGTGTCATGGAAAGTGCGATAAAATTCAACAACCTCCTATTATTTCTTCACGTTCTTACATCAGCCAGTTATGTGCCAAGGCGATCATGTATCTTTCGATACATGACTGACGAGGCAGAATTTTTCCCAGCAGTAGGTTGCAATTTCGTTCTGCGGTAGACCAGTTGCCATCCAAGGCTATATTACATCACAACGCACGCTTTATACAGTACTCAGTCAGTGATGTGCCATGCAAGATACACGCTTAGGCGATCATGTATCTTTCGATACATGACTGACGAGGCAGATTTTTCCCGCAGTAGGTTGTTATTTCTTTCTGCAGCAGACTAGTTGCCATCTGTCCTGCTACTTACCTCTACCGGCGGGGGGGGAGGAAGCAGAAGAAGAGGATTCTTACCTTTCCTAAGGGTATTAGCACGTAAGTGAATGTAATAGATTCGAAACTGAATGAATTTGAACTTTGCTTTCCGATTCCTCAATCGGAGCCGCTATCCACTACTCCACAGTACCTCATCGTTTATACATATCATATGAAATATTCCGTAACTGAATAGTGCATAGATTTATGTTTTTAGACTTATTAACTTTATAAAGTTTAGGCAAAATTAAAAGTTGCTAATATTCTGAGCGAGAGACACTGTATATCCGTACACACATTACACGTATAGTAATAAAAATTCTAAACTTGCGCAAGTTCTAAGGCTTCTCATACCCTTTTCAGTATTGTCAATACAGATTTTCGCTTATTCATGACGTTCATATTATCCTTTCAATTGGACGCCGATTACCATCTAATCGTCTCTATCTTCCATTTTTTAATGATTGGCAAAATTGTCTCTTTTAAAAGTATTTTGCTTTGTCACTGCTCAGGGGTAATTTTCTAAGTCCAACGAACCAGCCCTGCTTAATAGATAAATAAATGTAGAAAGAATTAAATAAGAAATAGAAACAAAAATAAAATAAGAATAATCATTTGCCTGAGTTCCATCATTTTCCTCATCTCCGGTCCGAAAAAAATGGCGGCACAATACCCCATCACGTTGCTCTCTGGTTAACAAAAAAAAAGTCATTTCGATGGTGAACTGATTCACCGCCAATTGATCGCTTGGTTAAGCAAAGATCATCAAATGAGATAACACGCTCGTGTCCACCTTATCGTCTTTGCTTTTCACGCGCATCTTTTCTCTCCTTTTTTTTTCATTTTCTTTTCAATAGGGGACTTGCTGTTGTGAATGTAAATTTCTTTATTTTCAAAGAATCGTTTTCTTTTTGTTTGTGTTCGTGACTTTCAAGCAGTCTTTCCCCTTTTATTATAACGTTATTGCGTTTTTTTTCTTTTTGCTCAATTATCCTTCTCCATTTTCTTTTTACAAAATCGTTTCCCCATTTTTTTGAATACTTTTTCTTTATCGCACGTATTTCGATCGTAACAATCCAGTCTTGTTTTTTTAAGTATGTTTCTTGCTTTTTTTTTCCTCGCCTGCTTTCTTGCCTTCGTTCATTCTTTCTTTGGTTTCATTTGGCTGAATTTTTCATTCGCCATTTTTCTATCTTCATTTTATAATTTTTATTTTCCATATCGCACTAATTTAATTCAGGAAAACTCATTCTTTTATTTACGTTTCGAACTTTCCGCTTACATTTCTTTCGTCCTGCTAAATTTTACTTTTCTTTTTTGTCAATTGATACCAATAAAAGCATTTATATGCAATTTATACAAATGAAAACACACATACCCATATACATTGCTGGCCAAAATCGTAAGGCAAATAAAAATAAAGAAAAAAACATACATTTTGTATTGTTAGACTCAACCACTTATTTGATTAGAGCTTCGAAAAATGAAAATAAGAAAAAATAAAATTAAAAACTTTAACATTCAATAGGGAAATTTTCAATACTGGGAAAGTATATATTTATTATTGTAAAATACAATAATTGCGACCAAAAGTGGATTAAGGCTGGTCAACATTAACCTATCCTTTACCTAGCTAATTCAATTCACGACCCATTCATTCAGTACAAATAACACATATACCAAAAGAAGATAGCTTTCATCTTTTACTTCTACATATATCACAATTCCTCATACACAAAGGGAACCTAGAAAATAAACCACATAAAATTATTTTTAAGCGTAGCTTAGACGTGGCACAAGGCCGAAAGTAGGGGTCACTAGTGAGGACCGAACACACTTTTCAGTAGTAACTGATCTAGCAAGACAAGTTTGGTAACCATTACACCACGCCGAGGTGCCCAAATACTGGGAAACTATACTAAATACTAGTTGGTCAAATGTTTAAGACCATATTAAAATGAAGGTTTAATTGGTAAACTCGTAACAAAATTTAGGCATTTGTGGTTAAGCATTTGCGTAGAGAACATCTGAGTTACATTAGGTAAAATCACGGAAAGGGATAGAAAGCTGGCAAGAGTTTGGACGTGACAGAATTGTCGAGCCACAGAAGTATGGCCTCTCTTAACCTGCCATCGCTTGTGAGATTGAACGTCGTGAAATTGCTTTTGCAAATTCCTTGAAAGACCATGAAGGATATGGAACAAGAATTTTCAAGTGGTCGGCCCACCCAAAAGTTTAGTCGGCATTGAGCAGGAGGATTCGACGTGTTGTCCAGCAAAGCACCAACCGATCATCAAACCAGATTAAGGCCGCTACGGACGCAGAAGAACAATAAAATATCATCTTCGAGAGAAAGGTTTTAAAACCCGTAAACGCCTCCAGTTTTCACGTCACCTACCACACCACAAAACAGCTCGAGCCGCCATTACACTTTCGCACCCCCCGTCTTGTTGTAATATTTCGCTGCGGGGTAATTTTTTCCACCAAGAAATAATTTTTTCCCATTGGCTATCCTTTTTGCACTGTTTACATTCATCACGTCACTTACTTTACAGTTCGTTTCAAACCAAATATTATGGCTGAAGTTCGAACTGTTCCTAATCAACAGGTTTTTGGAGACATCACCATTTTGAAGATTGGGGCACAGTTTTACAATAATATTGATAATTGCATTGACTGGTGCCGTAACTATGGTTTTCTAGCAGTCAATATGGACTGAATTGCTTGCAAGAGCCGTTGTAAGGAACAAATCTATTTGCGACGGTGGACAACAGGATCTGGAGGTGCGCACGTAAATCTTGGGAAGGGCGCGAAAGTGTAATAGCGCCCATCTCGGTTAATCTTTGCTGAGAAGCGCCAAAACTGAAAGGATGTTTTGTTCTCTAATGAGAAAATAATTAACCTTTATGTTCCAACGTTACTGGCACAACATATATATACTACTGGAGAAATTTCCTACACCATATAGTTGGAGATTCTCTTATGATCTGGGGTGATATCTCCTTTCAAGGAACAAAAGAGTTTCAAGTTATACAGGGGCTTCAAACCGCGGCTGGTAACATTGGCATGTTGGTGAGAGCATCTTTATTGACTGAAGACCCTCACTTATGGGGGAAATGATGGCGAATAACATGATTCTTTTGGACCATCCAGTGGGTTCGCCGGACCTGAACGCCATTGAAAATGCATGAGAGTGGACTGCAATGGAAGTCTATAGAAACTGACGTCAATTCCAAACAATGCATGACGTTCCTGAAACCATCTTCACCACTTGGAATAATATTCTAGCCAGTCTTCTGCAGACGTTTATATAGACCATGCCAAAGCGGATTTTGAAGTTATTCCCAATGACCGCAGTTCAATTCACTACTGAGTCGTCTTTTTGGGCATTTCCTTCTCGGGTTAGGACTTCTTTTAGATAGTTATTTATTGTGTTTTTGATACACAATTGCGACACAAGGCCCAAAAGGGGAGGGGCTGAGGCTGGTCGTCAGTATCTTATACCCTAGTGCGCCTCAGTCCTAACTGAACAAACGAGGCAAACTTGCTAAACATAACACTATGTTGAAGTTTCCGACTCACTCAGCTTATATAGTGAGAGCATATCCCTATAAGCATGCCTACGCGCATGCGCATATGCCTGTGTGTTTGCAAGAAAAAAATTAAAGTTGTTTGTTCCAGATTATGACGAATTCAAAGACTAACATTTACTGAAATGCTTTTTTTTCTCTCTATTCCTTCTTGCTTCTTCTTAATTTCTCTTTGCGTTACTTCTCTCTTTCTCTTTCTTCTTTTTTCATTTCTCTTTTTTTCCCAGTTTCTTTTTTTATTCCGTCTTTCTCTGGACTTTATCTTTCTATCAAGACTAAAATACCTAGTAGGTGTGGTTCCGTGATAATATTAAAACAAACAAAAACAATATATTTTAGACCAAATTTCCAGAGATAAATAGAAAAATCTTTTTATGTGAAAAAAAAAAAATGATAATTCGACAAAAAAGAAAAGTGCCCAGTTGATGGCTCTCATTACTAAATACGAGTAGTTCTTGTGGCAATCGAATCCGTTTTATAAATAATACGTAGGATTTGATTGTCATCATAGATGGAAGTTTGGGAAGAATTTCTGCTTATTTTCTCGTGTTTTGATAAGTTATTTTTTTTCCCTTAACATACACTTTGTCCGCTTGTTTTTATTCATATTGTCATTGAACAAACGTATTTTAATGTTGGCTTTGCAAAGGACATTTTTTAAATGCTGGTTTTTTCACGATAATCTCCCTTTGTTGTGCTCTTTATTCATGAAAATAAAAATTCTCATCTCTTTCTTGTTCCCATCAAGTTAATTTCCACGCTGGACAATCTTGATTTGGGGCATTTTATTTTTTATTCACGGACAAATATAGAAAGCATTAATATTAAGAACGAATAAACGATTGAAAAAAAAAATAGGAGTGTCATAAAAATGAATATGAAAATTAAGTAACGTAATTCCTAACTGGCACAAATCAGTAACAGGCTACCAAGCTCGGATCAAACGTTCATTTTTCTTGTGTGTTTTCCTTTAGGACTTAAGCGATCATAGTTCTCTGCAACTTCCTAGCTTTTCTGGCCTTTAACAGTGTTTCTCCCATTACCAAAACTCCTACAATGCAGCCCGCTACCCATCCACACAAGCTCGTCCAGTAGGTGACCTGCTATCTTCCTCTATCTTTCTTTTCGAATAGATATGCTTCATCTACTGTTACGCCACATTTTCCTGACAAATACAATGTTAACCTCTTCAATTCTAGTGTTAGCCGTTAGCTTTCACACATATCTGCATAAACTGCAACCCTCACACTTACCACTGACACAACAGCTGCCTTCAGTAACTTCCAACTTGAATAGTTCTTGGTCCTTGTATATGGTGAATTTTAGTAACAAAAAATATTGACAGAATCGCACTATATTTTTTTCCTCCGTTTCCAGCCAAATATATAGCGTAATTGATATATATAGAAAGAATATATATATTAAGAAAGAATATATATATTAAGAAAGAATATATATATATATATATATATATATATATATATATATATTGAACAATAAAAAAATATTAAAAAATTAAAATCTTCAGACACACTGGGTTGTAGATTAATATTCTTTCGTTTTCTTTTATTATCATTTCATTTAGATTCCTCGACTAGTTTCGGCCAAAATGGCCATCATCGGGAGAAGAAATATTTCTGCTTGCTGGTAGCAGTAAACTACAGAAATGAATGTCTTGATGGAGAAAATGAACTTTTGTCTGTAGTTTTCATTTGTTTTTTTTTCTTTTTTTTTCTTTTTAACATGAATCTTTTAACATTCCTTGTGTTGGTAAAACAGCCTCTTTTAAGTTGTTATTTGAGATAAGAGCTGGATGGATCTATGATTCTCTGAATTCCTGTGGTCAGTTTGACAGTTTTATTGGTCCTGGAGAGGGGATGTGTCTCTGTTTAGTGCTTGTGTGTGTGTTATTTGGTTCTTAGGGACTGAGTGAGTATATGTGTAAGCGTGTGTATTGCGGTGGGTGTGTGTTATCATTTGGCTCATTAGGGAGTGAGTGAGTATGATGTGTGTAAGTGTATACATTCGTGCATATATATATATATATATATATATATATATATATATATATATATATATATATATATTGTATTACATCTTGGTAATCTATTGTTTTTAACATCGGTCGTTGATAATATTTTTTTCTTATCTTTGTTCTATTCTACCGACGATTATTTTTTCTGAAGAAGTGTCGGTCGAAAGGCGCCTAAAATCCCACTTTTTTTAAACGAAATACTTTTGTGTCTATTTTAAAAATAAAATGAGAAATATCATTCTTATGTTTAAATCAATTTTGACTTGGTGTGGCAGTAAAAAGAACCTGTTTATAGGCACGGTGGAGTAATGGATAGCGGCTCGAATTGAAGAATCCGAGAGCCGAGTTCGAAATCCAGTCGAATCCATCACATTCACTTACGTGCTAATACCCTTTGGCAAGGTGTGAATCCTCTTCTCCTCCCTCCAGCTATGGGTAAAATAGCAGGACAGACTGGGTTCTATAGCCTTGGATGGCAACTGGTCTAGGAGAAGGACAACTCTGAATTCAAAACATGCGGAGGGTTATTTGGGGACCTTGTGGCACGTAGTGCACCAGGTCTCTGTATTCGGCCCTTCAAAAAGTGTGGATGGTCCTGCACAAAACCTTCACCACTAAAATCAAATCTCATGTGCTGCTGTTTCCTGGAAGCTGATCTGCTTGACCCTCATTATATATATATATATATATATATATATATATATATATATATATATATATATATATATATATGGGATGCAATAGGTAAATTGTCGCCATTTTATATTTTTAATTTCGCGCATGCGCGTTGTTGATTTTGTCGACTGCATAGTATAGTAGGTCACTTTGGCAAAAAGAGTACCATGACGCAATACCTCTGTCAGAAATTTGGAAACGGCATTCTGTACTGCTTGACATTGCCGCCGGAAGTTCCAATACGAACATTTCAGAGTGTTTGGGTGTCAATCTGAGGACAGTGCAGAGGATTCAGAAAGAGTTGGTTGATATATCCAGTCAATATTATGGTGCTTAGAGATAGATGGCCACGTTATGCCTCCATTTATCTTCATACAGGACTACAGACTCAAGAGGCCCACATCAAGTACTTGAGGAGGTAGTGATGTTCTGGTTAAAGAGGGTGGCTTCTGGAAGACCCTATGTCTGGCAACACGACTCTGCACCATGTCACATAAGCTGGAGAAGACAGTCATGGCTGCCCGACAATTTCTGCGACCACATCACACTTTATATTTGACCACCTAACTCCCCAGACTACAACTCCCTTATGTGTGGGGCGCAGTTGAGCGATAGACCAACAAAACTCCTTGTAATACCATCGATGAACTGAAGACAAGGATTATGTCAGCATTCCCCAACTTTAAGAAGGAGACCCTCCAGAAGAGTTGCAAGAGATTTCAAAGTCGTCTGGAGGCGTTGGTTGAAGCCAATGGCGATTTTCTTAAATAAATGTACTCTTTAGTAGTTCAAGATATTTTTGTGTAATTTTGGTAAATATATCTGTCAAAATGTGATGTCTGTTGTTATTTTTATTTTTGCGTAATTTAGACGTCAATTTACCCATCGCATCCTATATATATATATATATATATATATATATATATATATATATATATATATCATTGAAGAAAAATATACGGAAAAAAACAAACAAAAATCCTAATATGCAATTATGCTGTTTTAATGTTAATATAATGTCAATGTAAAATAGAGTATATTAAAGAAGCCGGTGAATACTAGACCTGGATTCTTGAATATTTCCCCTTTTCTAGCAAGATTAATGATCGACAAACTAACATATAAGTTTTAGATTAAAATAAAATTCTTTTCATTTTTCATTCAAAATACTCTATTTTAGGAATACGTTTTCACAACATCGCCTACGTGACGCCGACGTGATCATATTTAAACGGAACGCTGATCTTGAAAAATTTCAGTTATCTGTTTTGATTATTTTGACTCTTATGTCCATCGTCTTTTCATGTTGAATTAAATATAGTCTAATGTTAATTATGTTTTATGAATATGTCCTGAAGATGGTCTATTAGACCGAAACGTCCGTCGTTGACATTTTATTAACATTAAAACGGCATAATTGCATATTAGGATTTTTGTTTTTTCCGTATATTTTTATTCATACTGTTGGATCTATATACATATATTTGCTTACATATATATATATATATATATATATATATATATATATAGGTTCTACTAGGAATGATGAAATGTTGTAAGATCAAGGACAGAAATTTATTGTGGATGAACTTGAGATCAAGGGACTCTCTTAAATTTTCGTCGGAGTGAATTCTTTTCTCCTTTGATCAGAGTAGTATTTTTTTGTTAAAATTCTGGTCCGTCTCATAACGGTGGGCAAACAATGCATTTAATGTATTGTCTTGTAAAATGTCCCTTTTGTGTTCATATAATTCTTGATTTAAATTACTCGAGGCTTTTCCTATGCATTTTTGTGACACTTCTTACAGGTAATCGAGTAAATTTCTCCTTCAAGTTTTAGATTATTGTTTTGCTTAGTATTGACTAAGTCTTTTTATTGTTTTAGACGTAGTAGAAACAAAAATTTATATTGAGTTTAGATAGATTCTTTCTATTCGTAGATGTGATAGAGTTAGTAGAACAATTTTTTTATTCATTGGGTCTGTCAGGAGGGGCCGCTTTTATATTGTGGAATATTTTATGAGCCTTTTTTTCGCATTGAATATAAAATAATTAGTGTATTGTAGAAGCTTGAAAGGGTTTTCAATGTATTTCTCCTTTTCATGTAAATATTGAGTATTACAAATTCTGAGGACTCTTAAGTAGAATCCGATGATTATACTTGATTTTATTTTGTTTTTATGATGAGAATAGAAATGTAGATTGATAATATTAGTGGTCAATATATATATATATATATATATATATATATATATATATATATATATATATATATAAATTTCCAATAGGAAAGAATCCAGGCAGAGCTCAATGACCAGGACAGATCAAGAATATAATGTAAAAGGCTGAAACACTAATATTCCATGGTTATAATTTATTACATTGAAATTGTAATCACGATCAATTCATCAGACCTACAAATTCAAACAACCTTTTGAATTTGTAGGTCTGATGAATTGGATCATGATTGCGATTCCATTGTAACAATTATAACCATGGAATATTATATATATATATATATATATATATATATATATAAAAGAAGACTCTCTTATCATGATGGGCAAGTTTAGCTTTCTCGGCATTGCTCTATGG